TGAACCTATAAAGGTCAAGCAGTGAAAGATTTGTTCAAAATCTGCATCTGGATTCAGAAAGCACTTTTTAAAGGGAAGATGGGCTCTTGGGTCAGTGGAGGGGACTAGAGAGTCTATTTTGGGCAAAGATGACTTGGCCACTAACAAGCATAATGGATAAGAGGGAACCTCATCATTCTCATCTTTAAACTGTGCTCTTGGCATGAAAAAGAGTTGAGATGACAGTGTCATGAACACTAGGTTCTCTGGTCTCCACCAGGATGTTAAGGACAAGTTAATTCCTCACATTCATATTGAGAACCTTAGAGTTTATGGCAAGCCTCGTCTGTTCTACCACTGACAATGACTTCCACTTTGGCAGTTGCCATTGTGGGCACTCATTTTCTCCCATAATCTACTTTACTGTGTGGTCAGAAATGATAGTGTTTATGGGCAAATGAGATGCGACTCACTTCAGATTTAGGTAAGAATAAAAAGAAAACAAAAACATTTGTCTCATGTCATATTTGGCTATTGTTATGTGCTGCCAAGTTGAATACAGCTCAGAGTGACCCAGTGAACAACAGACTGGACCCTAGCCTTATCTTGCACCATTCACATCATCTCTGACATACTTGAGCCCATTGCTGCAGTCACTGTGATAATTCTTGTCATTGAAGGTCTTCTCTTTCACTTACCTTCCACCTCTCCTGGCATGATATCCTTTTCCAAGGAATGCCCTCTCCTAGCAACACACCCAAAATATGTGAGACAAAGCTTCATCATCACTACCTCCAAAGAACACGGTGGCTGTACCTTATCCAAGACATAACTGTTTGTTCTTTTGGCAGGCCACGGGATACTCAGTACTCTTCTCCAATATCCCAACGCAAAGAGATCATTTTTTTCCTTCTGTCATTCAATTCATTGCCCAGCTCAACAGGGCATAGCAAGTGATTGAAAGGAGCATGGCCTGAACATTTCAGTCTTCCAAATGACACTATTCCTTCTCAGTACTTTCGAGAAGTACCTGACAGCAAACTTGCCCAATGTAATACATATTTTGATTTCTTGACTGCTAAGTACCAAGGGTGTTGCTGATTGTGGATCCAAGTAAGATGAAATCATGGACAACTTCAATCTTCTCTCCATCTTTCATTCATGTCACACTTTAAGTTACCGATGTTTATAAGAAGATGGCCAACCAAGAGAAAGTTTTGAACAAGTATGCCAGTGCCTACAATAATGAAAGAATACCACACAGATGTATCATATTAAGCCAACAGACAAATACAAAGTACAGACTACTGTACAATCTTTATCTAAAAGAGGACAAAGGTAAAAGAAAGGTGTAAAAGGCAATCATGGGAACAAATGGTATTTCCTTGAGAAGGTAGGACATTTTTCTATCAGAGAAATTGGTCATATTGTAGAGAAAAAAAGAATAACCTCCATATTTTACAAATTGACCCCCAAGTGATGAAATTCTTTGCTTTGCTTTAATTATGCTAGAAACTTCTAAAGATAGCACTGTTACACTTTTTGCTGACATAAACATTTTCCTGTGCAAAGTTACAAACAAGAAGAGAGTTTTAAAAAGAAGATAGCTTACACATTAATGTCTTTACAACATAGCATCATTATTTAAATCTATGATTAAATTTTGGTTGGATGGATGGATGGATGGATGGAAAAGCGGATTAGTGAATAATTTAGTATGAAATGTGGGTTTTGGTGCCAAAAGGAATACATTTTAGGATATTATATTTGCTTTTGATACATTAATAAAGAGCACATTTCCATCTCAAAATTTACTATATTGCTAACTATATTTCATTATTATTTTTTCCTTTCTCATTCTGTGTAATTTGAACTGAAAAAATTTGTGAAAAATAGACCAATCTTACAAAACATCCTAAAGGGAATTCTTCAGACCAAAAACTTACAACAGATAACAATCTGAAATGAGTAAACATGACAACAGCATTTAGATCCTGGCACAGACATAGGAATACATGAAGTAAAATAAAATCCAAAGACTAAAAACAGGGAGTCAGAGGTATTGGTCCATAAACGAGGACAACTGCAATGCGAAGAGAGAGACTATTAGGACTGCAGAGCCCTTTCCTTCCTCTCCCTGAAT